GAGTTTCATCCCCGGTACCAAAAAAAAAAAAAAAAGAAAGATACATGAGAAAATGGACAAAGGGAGGCTATAGGAGTGGTAGGTACAATGAAATCATAAATGTTCAATGTTTTAGAATATGTGTTCCCCCCCCGTACCAAAAAAAAAAACTCCCTAGAATATGTCCCAATATACAAAAATCAGATGGTACCATAAGTACTTCCCTTGTATATTACACATACCCATGTTCTCTAGTCTTTTTGTGTTACAAATGCGATGAAGGTGGTTGTTAACAGCTTTGCCCACTTGTTCATGTGCTTGTTTATTTGTAAGTGAGACTGGGTCTTAGGTAGTCTGTGCTAGCCTGGAATTTGCTGTGTAGCCCATGCTGGCCTTGGACTCAAAATTTTCCAGACTTAGCCTCCCTAGTTATGGAACTACAGGTGTGTACCACCATACTGGGCTCCATGTGTCTCTTGAGAAATAGAATTGCAGGAACAGTGATATAAACAGAGAGGCAGAGGAAAGTGTACATTTATATGTATATTTTTTACATTCCCTCCCCAAAGGTTCTACTTCCCTTCTCTAACATTTAAGAGTTATCTAATTATATATTAAAACATTGAACTATGTTTGAAGTACAGAAATAAGACAGGGTCTTACTATGTAGTTCAGGTTGGCATTGAACTCATTGTGTAGCCCAGGCAGGGCTCAAATTTGCAGTGATCCTCCTGCCTCAACCTCCCAAGTGTTGGGATTACAGGCTTGTGCTACCACACCTGGCCAAACATGACATTTTCCTGTTAACTTTATCATTTCCCTTGGCTGTATTTTTGTTTTGTTTTGTTTTTTGTTTTTGCTTTGTTTTATTGAGTCAGGGTCTCATTATGTAGTCTGGCTGGCCCTTCTGCCTTAGAGTCCCCAGTGCTGAGATTATAGGCGTGGGCCAGTACCCTTGGCTTCTTGGTTTCATACTGTTTTTGTTTTGTTTTTTGGTACAGGGGATCGAACCTTGCACTTGCGAGGCAGGCGGCAGCGCCATTGAGCTAAATCCTTTGCCCTTCATATTGTTAATCTTGTTAGTTTTCTGAGTAATTACGTTGTTCTGAGAGGCAAGTGATTTGCTTATGCTTAGTATGTTTCCTTTTTTGATACTTTCTTAATTTTCTTTGAGGGGCCGGGATGGCCTTGTGTTATTAAACAGATACCCTCTTTCTCTCTTTGTTGATTTGTGCTCATGTGTCGTTCTCTTTATCTGGTCCTATTACCATTCTGATGTTTGTTGTCCTGCCCTGGCTTCCGGTGGGTGAATGGTCCCTATGATGTATTGTCTTCATTTTGGTCCTCAGCCTCTTAGAAGTACCAAATCCCTAAGTCATTTCTTTTTGGGTTTACTCATTTTATCTGAGGTTTGTATAATCTCATTCTGCTTCCCCACAATATTCTGTACCTGTTTTCAATTCTTTTTCTCCCTAAAATGTGTCCACTACCTCAACAGTAATTTTTAAAAGTCATTTTATATCTTTTCTTCCAGTTAAGGATCTGAAATCTGTTAATCTCTGGATATTTATGTGGAAAGAAGCTTTTGGAGTCCATAATCTGTATCCCCCTTCTACCTCTTCTGAAGCATCACTGTTTTGAATAAAGTATAAATAGATTTTACTGTTGATTACATGGTGAAGAGCTGATAGCACAGAAAATTTTAATATCAGTATACCATCCGTTCTACTTAGCCCCTCACCTCCAGAAACTCTCCCTTCTTTCTGTTTTATTTAGGAAAACAGTGAAAAAAGGAGGATTTCTAGTCACATCTTTCATTATCTAGGATTTCTGGTCACATCTCCCTTGTCTCCCAAACTTGCTCATTGAATGTTCTTTCTCCTGTCTGCCTTCCTTCCCTTTTGCTTGGCTGATACCATGTAGGTTTCATTTTAGGCTTTAACATTTTTTAAGAAAGACTTCCAGACTATACTGGGAAAGTGGAAGGTGGGCGGAGATGGGTGATTCAGTTGTGGGGGTGAGGATGCTAGACCAAATACATAAGATATGAGTTAGGTATGCATTATTTGCTTTTGTTTGTTTATTTTTGGTAGCAATTGAACTCAGGGACTCAGGCTTGCCAGGCAGTCACTGCACTGCTGAGCTATGTCCCGGCCCTGTGTTTCTTTGTTTTTTTGAGACAGCGTCTCACAAAGTTCTGGCCTTGAACTCACTGTGTAGCCCAGACTGGCCTTGAAGTCTGGCAGTCTTCTGCCTCAGTCTCCCAGTTATTGGGATTATAGGCAAACGTTACCATGCCTGGCATATTGTTTTTATTATACTTGTAAAAAGTTAACTAAAAGTTGTAATTGATGATTTGAATACTTATCTGCTTTTGGTTTTGACATTTACTTGTGTTTGGGTCAGCAAATGTTTATTGATTGATTTTATGAGTAATATATTTCTAAGATACTTTTCTCAACTGAGACATTTTCCAAGTATGTATTTTTATTATAAAATGTTTCTAGAATAGTATTAATTCTATGCACCATATTAATACTTGTTAATGCCTTTATACCTGCTATATAGGACCCCTCGTCCTGTCATTGTGGAGCCTATGGAGCAGTTTGATGATGAAGATGGCTTGCCAGAGAAGCTAATGCAGAAAACTCAGCAATATCATAAGTAAGCTTTTATTAATAAAGATATTTTAGATATTTGCTATTGGAGTGCTTATTGCATCATATTTGTTAATACATTACTGGATTATAAGGTATTCTGTCCTTATACTCTGGTTTATAGAATGGCCTGGTCTACTTGGAATGCTAATTTTTTTTAAGTAGTGGTAAAACATTAATTTTACTTAAAATAGTTTCTACTTTCATAATTTAACATACTTGGCAGAAAAAAATGAAATCTAGGTAATGTGGAAATACTCCTTTAGTTAATATACTTCATGTGTATTGTTATTTTAAAGGTTTTCAGTGGGTGGGAGCGGAGAGGTCCTAGTTAAATAAGGGAAAGAGTCTTCTTAGAGATTACAGAAAAAACCCATTTCCTGTTTTCACCAATTGCTTTTTAAATTTAGTATTATACAAATACATTTACATAGTTGCCTGGGTGTGAATATATTGCTTTTGTAAGTAGTCACTTGAGTGCCTTTGTGTCATGCCCTGTTGTGGTGCTGGCAGTGCAGTTGCGTAAGTGGTTTGATGCATCTGGAATTTAGAAGAGGGGTCTCAGCTAAAATTACCAATGTGTAATAGAAAGCTAAGTCACAAAGGCTGAACCTCGAGCCCTGGTATACTCCAGTGTGTTGAAGTTGGGCAGATCAGAAGGTATCCAAAAAGATTGAGGGAGCAGCCATGGAGTGGGGAGAACAACCAGCAATATGGCTGAGTCCTTGAGCAAGGGAAGAAGGGTCAGTAGTAAGCAGTAGGTTGTACTTCATAACCATTTTAATTTCTCTTGTAGCACCATTTTTCAACAACTTTTGTTTCATGTTCATTAGACTTTTTCTTCATTGCTTTATCATTACAAATATGAAATACAATATTCTTTTGGATTCAGGAATTAGATAACTAACTACAAAGGTGTTATAAGAAGTAAAATTTACAATAAATGCTCACCTTTTTTCTTTGTTTTTGTTTTTTTTTTAACCCAGTGCTGGGGCTTAAATCCCGGGCCTTCACACTTAGCTGTATCCCCATCCATCTTTTTACTTTGAGACAGGATCTCATTAAGTTGCCTGGGCTGGGCTCAAACTTGAGATCTTCTTGCTGGAGTTACAGGACCACACTACCATGCCTGGCTTACAATAGAAATTAAAAATAAATATTGTTGAGCCAGGCATGGTGGTGCATACCTGTAATCCCAGCACTGGAGAGCTGAGGCAGGAGGATCACTGTGAGTTTGAGGCCGACCTAGGCAAGTTAGTGACTTTAAGGCCAGCCTCAACTACATAGTGAGATCCTGTTTCACCCTCCCTCCAAAAAAAACCCCCAGTGTATATATTTTGAATATATCATGTGCCAGATACTGGGCTGTATACTTGAGGTACAACAGTTAATAGACATAGTTGATGTCCTCACTGAATTTATAGTTTAGCAAGGGAAATGTTAAATAAATAACAAGCATAGTAAGTTAGACCTTTATTTTTTGGCTCAGTCAGTTAACTTGGCACACAACAAATAAACAGAAGCTACTTTTATTATTTTAAAAAACATACTGTAATTTTGTTTAACTTAGGACACATTTGATTCATATTTTCTAGAGTCGCTTATGCAAAATAGTTGAGTGAAAACCAGGAAAGCCTCATTGGCAGTAGTAATAAGGGGAATGCAGTTTGTAGCATTAGATTTTGTAGGTTTGAATTGTTTCCATTACTTATTAGGGTAGTTGGGTGTATGTGAGAAATTCCTCAAAGTCAAGCAATGTTGCTATGAAATGAATCATCTGGCTGCCTGACAAAGAACCTTGAATAGGATAATTGCTCGATAAATGTAGCTGTTATATTATCTGTTGTCTTTGTTTACATTTTAAGCATACATGTCTGTATATTTTTAATGTAAATTTAGGGAAAGAGAACAGCCACCACGCTTTGCTCAACCTGGGACATTTGAATTTGAGTATGCATCTCGATGGAAGGCTCTTGATGAAATGGAAAAGCAGCAGCGTGAGCAGGTTGATAGAAACATCAGAGAAGCCAAAGAGAAACTGGAGGCAGAAATGGAAGCAGCTAGGCATGAACACCAGTTAATGCTAATGAGGCAAGGTAAAAACAGGCTTTCATACAGATGTAGTATGATTGTTTTCCCTTGAGGTTCATGTGTCTGACATATATTGCTACTTATCTAGGAATTTAGAGACAGTGTCAGAACTCAGCATATTAGAAATAAAATCTCCCTTTTCTGAAATAACTGAAAAAACAAGAATTCATTACATGTTGAATATATATTTACCTGTAATACAAGTTGAATATCAAGTACAGTTGAATATCAAAAATGCTTGGGACCAGAAGTGTTTCAGATTTTGAAGTTTGAGGTTTTGGTTTTTTGGATCCAGGATGCTCACTCACACATACATTTTACCTATATAAGTATTAGTATTAGAGGCATCATTTCTGACCTTTTTTTCCAGCTTTTTATACCTGTCTGTCTTTATTACTTGTTGTTATCACTGATCTTTTCCGTTAGTGTGATAGTTTTTTCTTAAAAATAATCATCTGATTACTGTGCTAGTTTTGTGTGTGTGCACGTGCATGTGCACTGGGATGTAACCCTGGGCCTTGGTATGCTAGGCAAGGGCTCTGCCTCTGAGCTCTACCCTTAGCCTTGCTTTCTACTTCACTCTTCTCTAGAGGTGAGAGCACCACAGATGTCTGCCTGGCTTTCTGTAGTAGCTTTTACTGCAGTCTGATGTTGGCCTTCTCTAAACTAGCCTGTGTTCTAGAGCTACTATTTTTAAATTTTTGTTATGTTCTTCTGTCTTTAAAGGTAAAGTACAGGGGTTTTTTTCTTTTCTTTTTTTAAGAGACTGAGTGCTTCTATATAATGTTGTGTGCTGCCGCACCCCCCCCCCCCCCATAGGGTCTCACTGTGTAGCCCAGGGTGGCCTCAAACTCCTTTGTAATCCTCCTGCCTCTTGAATGCTAGGATTACAGGCATGTTCTGGCATGCCTGGCTACCAAGGTTTTTGTTTTTTTTAACACAGGATCTTGCTAAGTAGTTCAGACTGGCCTTGAACTTGTGATTCTCTTGGTTTATCCAAGTCCTGAGATTACTGGTACCACCCCACCTGGCTTTGTGGTGTTCGTTGTTTCTTTCTTTCTTTCTTTCTTTCTCTTTCTTTCTTTCTTTCTTTCTTTCTTTCTTTCTTTCTTTCTTTCTTTCTTTCTTTCTTTCTTTGTGGTGTTCGTTGTTTCTTTCTTTCTTTCTCTTTCTTTC